AAAAAAAAAAAAAAGACACTGTACAAAAGGAAATGTACTCATTATCTGACTCATGTAATTGTAATCCCTCTGAACATCACCTCTGTAATAACAATACATTAATTTTGGGGGGGTCCATCATGGGGCCTTGAACTCTGGGCCTGGGCACTGTCCCTGAGCAGTTCAGCTCAAGGCTCGTACTCTACTACTTGAGCCACAGTACCACTTCCAGTTTTCTGGTGGTTTATTGGAGTTAAGAGTCACACAGGGGGGGGAAAGCTAGGAAGGGATGTGAAGGGTAAACAAAAGGAGGAGGCTGCAATGCTTGGTAAGAAATGTACGCATTATCCTGCCCATGTAATTGTAACCCCTCTGTACAGTATCTTCACAAATAAAATAAATAAAAAAAAGAAGTACAACCTAAGCCAGACTTAGCACGATTTTCTTTTGAAAAAAAAAAAAAGAGTCTTACAGGGGCTGGGAAGGTGGCTCAGTGGTAGAGTGCTTGCCTCGCACGCATGAGGCCCTGGTTTCGATTCCTCAGTACCACATAAGCAAAAAAGGCCGGAAGTGGCACAGTGGCTCAAGTGGTAGGGCTTTAGCCTTGAGCTGAAGAGCTGAGGGACAGCACCCAAGCCCAGAGTTCAGGCCCCATGACCAACCAAAAAAAAAAGTCTTACAGAACTTCCTGCCTGGGCTGACTTTGAACTGTGATCCTCAGATCTCAGCCCCCTGAGTAGCTAGGATTACAGATGTGAGCCACTGGCACCCAGCAACAATAATTAATTTTTTTGTTATAATCTCCAGTATCACTCAGGTTGTAGGAATTGGTGACATTCACACATAATCTGAGTGAGCATGTCAGTTGCTACCAACTTGAAATTCAATGGCACAGACTCTATTAAAAATTTTAAAACACAGGGGCTGGGAAGGTGGCTCAGTAGTAGAGTGCTTGCCTTGCACGCATGGGGCCCTGGGTTTGATTCCTCAGCACCATATAAGCAGAAAAAGCTGGAATTGGCACTGTGGCTCAAGTGGTAGAGCACTAACCTTGAGCTGAAAAGCTGAGGGACAAATCAAAAAAACAAAACACATATTGTATCTACAAATACAAAAAGATAACTATAACGATGTTCATTATTGCATTGTTTATAAAGCAAAAACACTGAAACCTAAATGTTCATCAAGATCTAACTATATAAATGAAAGTATAAACATATATAAAGCAAAAAAACTGAAACCTAAATGTTCATCAAGATCTAACTATATAAATGAAAGTATAAACATAAATTTGAATACAATACAAGAACTTGGGAAATTTTTTTGGTGTTTTTGTTTTGTTTCATTTTGTTTGAGTCATAATTTCATTATACTGTCTAGGCTGACCTCCAAACTCCTGGGCTCAAGCAACCATCCTGCCTTAATCTCCCAGGTACCTCTGGCTACAGACATATATCACCTCTATTTACGAAAAATAAAATTTTAATATTTTTATTTTCTTTAAGTAGTACAAAGGAATTGCCATTCAATAAGCAGTTTATGAGTATAATATATCCTGCTCAATGTCATCCCTTCCAACAGTCTCATCCAACCTTCCCAACCTAACCCTTCCTTCACTTTTCTTAATTTTGTGGGATATATAATGATTTTTTTGCCTTTAGCAAAGCAGATTTTATATATATATGTAAATATATACATATATACATGTATATTTATAAATGTATATATACATATATATATGTATATATACATACACACACACACACACACACAGAGGATGGGGAGGGAGAGCACATTTTCATCTGTGTCACCCCTTCAACATTTTCATTCTCCTTCATGATTTTTTTTTTCAGTCATGGGTCTTGAGCTCAGGGCCTGGTCACTGTCCCTGAGCTCTTTTTGCTCAAGACTAGCACTCTACCCATTTTGAGCCACAGTACCACTTCCAGTTTTCTCATGGTTAACTGGAGATAAGAATCTAACACTTTCTTGCCTGGGCTGGCTTTGAACGGTGATCCTCAGATCTTAGCCTCCTAAGTAGCTAGGAGTATAGTCATGAGCCACCAGTGCTCAACTCATGAAACTATTTTTTAAATGTAAACTGACTTAGATGTCTAACATACTTCATATGACAGATTACAGTGATCAATAAATATGTACTAGATGAAAAAATATGCATGTGAACATAGAAAAAAGTGTGGAGGTAACAGTATATCAAACTGATTAGAATAACATAGGGGTGTAGGTCAGTAGCAGAGAGCTTGCCTAGAGTGACAGAGCACCTGGATGCCATTCCTAGCACCAAGTAATAATAACAATAATAACAACAGCACATGAATAAATAATAAAAAACTGAAAAGAATTATTATCTTCAGGAGCATGAGATGGTAAAGAGGGTGACTAAATACTTTTGCCTTTACTATTTTGTGTTCTGTCCATTGGTAAAAATAAGTGTAGGCTTCTGTTTTTAAGAACTAGAGACTGGGGGCTGGGAAGGTGGCTCAGTGGTTGAATGCTTGCCTTGCATGCATGAGGAGGCACTGGGTTCAATTCCTCAGCACCACATAAGCAGAAAAAGCCAGAAGTGGCGCTGTATGTAGCTCAAGTAGTTCAATGTTAGCCCTGAGCTAAAGAGCTGAGGGACAGTGCCCCAGGCCCAGAGTTCAGTCCCCAGGACCAAAAAACACAAAAATAAAACCTAGACACTGAGAGGGGGGTATTTGGGAGGAGGGAAAGTGGGAGAAAAGTGAGGGAGCGGAGTAACAATTTTCACAAGAAATGTACTCATTACAGATACAACTGTAACCCCTCTGTATATCACCTTGAAGCACCAACCTTGAGCACAGAGAGGCTCAGAGAGAGCCCAGGCCCTGAGTTCAAGCCCCAGGACCAGCAAAAAACAATAACAACAACTAGAGACTCTCAGAAATGGAGGTACAAAGGGTAAACAAATGTAGCAGTGGTACTCATTGACACTATCATGAAAATGAACTATACAACTTGTGGGTGGAGACAGGAGGGGAAAACTGGGAGAGAGCAAGGTAAAGGGTGACATTATCCAAAAAGAAATGTACTCATTATCTGTGCATCACCTTTATAATATCACAGAAAAAAAATTTAAAAAACTAGAAACTAATTTCTATTGACATTTTTCTCTTTTATTATCCATCTTATTTCAGCTTTAGGATGAGTCTAAGAGCTTGCTCCAAAATACAAAGAGCTCAAGGAATCTTTGTCTACACACACACACACACATTTTTATTTTTTCAGTCGTGGGGCTTGAACTCAGGGCCAGTGAGCTGTACCTGAGCTCTTTTGCTCAAGGCTAGTGCTCTACCACTTTGAGCCACAGTGCCACTTCCCATTTCCTGGTGGTGGTTAAATTGGAGCTAAGAGTCTCATGGATTTTCCTGCTCCAGCTGGCTTTGCACCAAGATCCTCAGATCTCAGTCTCCTGAGCAGCTAGGATTACAGACACAAACCACCAGCACCCTTCTATCTTTGTCTTTTTATATCCTAAAGATTTTTTATTTTGGTATCATCACTAATTTCCCTAAACTCACAACTTTATGCACACAGAATAGAAATCAGTACTTACAAATTTTCCTCTGGCACATGCACTTTGCCAGGGCTGGGTAACTGTTTTAGTGTGTTTTTTGTTTGTCAAGGGTTACTTGGATATTTGTAAGATTATTTGAGGGCCATAGAATAGAAGCATAAAGTTTCTGTTCTGTCAAGCACCAAATGATTCCACAGGGCCATACTCAGCCTGACAAGAGTGGGGAACAAAAAGGGTTTCTCAGTCAAAGGCATAATGACTCCAAACATTTAAAACACTACCTAAACAAATTTCAGGAAATGGAAACATAGGGGATTTTTGTTGGTGGTGGTGGTGATGGTGGTGGTAGTGTTGTTTAGGCTTTTTTGGTTTTTTGTTTTGTTTGTTCTTTTCTCCTTCTTTTGGAGGATGCAAGGGAAGACAAAGAAATGGAGGAAGAAAGGATGAACAAATACAAGCATGGTACTCAGTAGACACTGTGGAAAATGAACTAGGCAACTTGTGGGCAGTGAATGGAGGGGGAACCTGGGGGAAGAAATAAGGGATGCCAAAAAGAAATGTAACCTCTCTGTATTAACACCTTAATAGTAATAAAATTACATATAAATGTATATGTGTGTATACATATATATATATATGTATATGTATATTTGAGGTTCCCCAATTCATCTTTAGCAAAACCTCTCTCTAATGGGGTAAAATTCGAAGATAGGCTCATCTTTCCATTTTTTGCATGCAGCCCAGGTTTAGGGGCCAAACTACCTGGCTAAGCCTTCAACAAGATTGGTTTCCTGAGAGGCCTTTTGCAGGGAGGAGACCACTAGGAATAAAAGGGGAAGGCTAGGAAGTAATAACCAGGCTGGCTTTCGGGTGTAGGGTTATAACTTCTGCACGGGCGTGAGCAGGATGGCTTCGGATACTTAGGGAACGCCTCCGAGAAAGTGTTCATTTTCAGACACACTGAGTGTACATCACTTGACGGTGGAAGACCCAAAGCTCACAGAAAGACAAATGTGGCCTAGTTAAGTGAAAGCAAAAAAAAAAAAATCAGGGGCACAAACTATTCCGTCCTCTACTTGGGTCTCAACAAAAAGCGATGCCAAGGCAGAGATGGCGCTTTTTCTAGTCTTAGGCAGCTACCCAATGAGCACCCGGAGCTGAGCGATTTCGGAGACTTCGTTCCTGCCCTCAGTCAAGATGGCGGCCAAGGCACACACGCGTCAGAGCGCACGCGCGGCGCGCCGGGCCTCGTTCTCCCGCGGACCGCTCCGCCCACCCACCAGCTGCAGCGCACCGCGCGTCCCCAGCCTCACCCCTTTTCGGGCTGTCCCCGCCAGTCCAGGCTCCAAAGCCCGGAAGTGCAAGTTGCCGCTCGGCGGAGACGACGAGGGGGAGGGGGAAGTGCTTCCGGGGAAACGGGCCCCGGGTTGGTGTTTGTAAACTTGCCTCGGTCCCGACGGGGGCAGCGGCAGCCGCGGGCTTGGCACGATGTGCTGGGGTCTGAAGGAGGCGCCGCACGACTGAGGAGACAGCGGGAAGCCGCGTCTGGCAGGTAAGGCGCACGCCCTAGGGAGCGCAGCGTCGTCCCGGCGGACGGCAGTACCTCAGCAGCTCGCAGGCCGTGGGTCGCCGCGCGGGAAGGGGGAGGGGAGAGGAGGAGGGGCGCGTGGCGCAGGGAGGGGGTTCGGGCTGG